TGGAGGCCCCCGCCTTCCTGAAGAAGCTCGAACGAGGGAGGCTGGCGCACCTGCTGCGCCTGCCAGGCAGCTTCCTGGGCGACGGGGAATGACATGAGCTCGACGCCGTCGGCGGCCCGCAGATCCCCTCCGCCGCGACCATGTGCGAGGCAGCCCTCGTGAGGGCGGCGGTGGTCACGCTGGGCTCCTGGCGCGCGGCCTCGCGGCAGCTGCGCGGGGCTGCGCTGCGGCACCTGCCCTTGGTGCGGACGGTCCGTGGCTGCCCGTGGCCCAGCTGGTGGCAATCTGAGGCCATCGCTGCGACGTTGGAGAGAGCGGCGTCGTGCCGCGGCACGAGCCCCCGCGCGACGGCTGTGCGCGCCCTTCTTGCGGCCGCCTCCCGCGAAGCCCACCGCAGGCGCGCCGGCCCAGCTGCAGGAGACGAGCGCCCTGCTCTCCTGCGGCGTGTGCGGCCACGGCACCTCCTTTACTCCTCCCTCCTTGGTTCGTACCTTCGCTCCGACTCTCGTCTCCCGCGCCTCCACCTCCGCCTGCAAGAGCGTCTCCAGCGCTGGTTTGGGGTCCACGCTGTCGACGCTGCGGCGATCGACTGGTCGACCGTCGCCGCGGTGATGCATCGCATCCCGCCGTCCTGGCGCAGTGCTTGCATTAAGACCTGGGGGGGGGGGGGGGGGTTGGATCACCGAGTCTAGGATGCGCAACCCGTGCAGGCGGTGCGTCTGGGGATGTCCAGGGGCTCGCGACTCGCTAAAGCATTACTTTTGCTGGTGCGACCCGATGTATATGCTCGTCCGTAGTCAATTAAATGCTGACCTCCCAGCGCCCCCGTTTTTGGACCCCCTCCTAGCTCTGGGCCTGATCCACCCCTCCCCCGATACGTTCGAATTCACTGCCTGTTATTTCCATCTTTATCGGTTGGCTCACCAAGAGAGCAAAACCCGTGCCCCACCGTTTAAGGATAATGACGCTCGCTCGCTCGCTCGTGCCGCACTCCAAGCAGTTGGAATGCCCCTCGGTGGTCAGCGCCGCAGGAGGCCCCGCCCACAGAGGCGATAGGCGGGATAGACACGCGGCCCCCCCAGACGCTCCAACCTCCTCCTCCTCCTCCTCCTCCTCCTCCTCCTCCTCCTCCTCCTCCGCAGAAGTGTGGGGTCTATAGGGCTACTGTCGTGATTTGTCGCGATGCGGCACTTTGTCGCTACGTCGGGTCTCAGGGAGCGGTGTGGTGGCCACACCGTGTGGTGAGTCAGTAGGGGTTCGTCATGGCGCCC